GTCTCAGTGTCATTTCGGGGCGAGTCAAACTCCCCGGAAAATCAGGGGGGCATGCCCGACGATGACGACGAGCTCACTCGTGCCCTGTATGCTCTGCCATACAGGAGAGATGGCCTACCTAGGAGCTCGCAGGTGGTCAGCGCCGCCATCGGCCGGCCCTACCGACAGGAGCTTCTGCAAATCCAGCGTGACTCCCCAAAGGCCAGCGGTTTAATTGCTCAGCTGGAGACCAGCGGGGTCGACCACAAGGACTATCGGCTCGATGAGGATGGGGTTCTGATGAAGTACTCTGGCACGACCCGAGTCAACGGATTGCTCGTCCCTCGCTTACGGTTCTATATCCCGGACGATACTGAAGCTGCGTCAATATATGCTAAGGGCCTCCTCGAGAAGTACCATGCCGACTCGGCATTGCCGAGTCCGGGTGCCTCAACGATAGGTATCTAAGGTGGATATTCTCGAGGACGTTCGCGCTCGCGGGGGTGCATGGACTAGCTTAAGAGGTTTGTCGTTCTTGTTCCGCCTGTCAGCTTGCGGCGAACAGGCGTTACTTCCCGAAAGGAGATGGCAACAGATCGCTTTATTATGGAATCCAAGCCTGCTGGGAGGTCGTGTCCGCCGACCTCGCGGAGATGGGACTTGATAAGCGGAAGATGTACGCCTCAGCGTTGTTATTGGTCGATCATTTCAGCCGGTCTGCTGTGGTAAATGCTATGGTTACGGTAACGGATCTATTCGGTCCCATGGCCGTTCTGCGCACAGATCGAGGCCCATGTTTCCGTTCGAAGCCGTTCGCTGACTTCGTGCAATCCCGCGCCATTGCTCACAAGCTACTGCCGCCATACTCCCCTTTCTCGAATGGGATCGTCGAGCGGGCGGTCGCCGCAGTAAAGTTTGTGGCTCGCCAAGTTGCCTCCAAGAGGAGTTGGCCTACTCAGCTCGGTAGAGCTATATCCCGCTTGAATAACAAACCTCTCTCTGGTATTGCTCTCTCACCCCATGAGATCTTCTTCGCGAGGCGTCGTCGTTTCTCGGTGGAGAATGCAGTAATTCCAGCGGACGAAGGAGCAGTTCATCCGGCTGGCTCGGAAGAAGCGACCTCTAGGGAAGAGGTCCGAGACGAGATAGATCGTATTGTGAACGAAGCTAGGGCGGCTGATGCCGAGCTGCAGTCGCAACATCGAGGGAGGAGGCCTCGCGACCCACCTCCTGTTGGTTCGGAGGTTTTGATTTTTTCTCCCAATCCTCTAGGTGGAGGAAGTTATGGTCAAGAGATATACAGAGTGTGTGGACCACACAGTGTGGTGTGATCGGGGCTGTTACCCTTCGTTTGGTGAAGGCGTCAATCAAGCCCGAAGATTTGACGGATGATAAGATCAAGGAGGTTGACTATTGCAATGTGCGCCCGTATTATCGAGCATCCGGGGGGCATGCCAGAGTACCCTCTGGAACATCAGCCAGATGTTAGGGTTCTGCCAGACTGGACTGATCTCTGCGCCATTAAGGTCTCAAAGAATGAAAATCTGAGTGCCTTATGATCTCTTATATAAAGTTGAACCTCTTAAACCAAACTGATCGTCGTAAAATTTAGGCTGTTCTGCCAAAAGCGAGATCGATAATATTACAGGCGTCGATGATCAATAACATGTGCGCGCGTGCGACGAGCATCCCCTGCACGCATACGCTGTCTAAAGGCGCCTATCCAGAGGGTACTCTAACAATGTGTACGGTACACAGTGTACTGCATAAACGTGATATTTGAGAAGATGAGAAAAGGCGAAGAATTGATGAGCATATTGATCCTATAGTACGAATCCTTCTCGTAGTACAGACGCACCGCTTATAAGGCACCAGCACTGGAGCGGGAAGACGATATTCATCGACCTCACCGCATCGGCAAGACAAGGTGTCTTGGAGATACAGATTCATGATGCTAAGTGACTAGAAACCTTGTCAAACAGTTCGGCGTCGATGAGGTAGTTGCTGTAATCTCCGTATTTATGAGAATCATCATAAAAAAAGTATGAGACCTCGAATCTCCAGCCATTATTTTCCTTCAAAATTAATATTATATGCCGGCTTAAGAGCTTAGAGAAATCAGTGGGTACATTGGAGGAGAGTTCTTCAAGTGATATTAGTGTCAACCCGTAGTAACTACCCAAACCTGTTAGATTACGCCATGATCTCCAAATGTTTACTTTGTCATCAGGGAAAGAGGCAAAGTCGACAGCCTCTATAGGGAAAAGAGCTCTTTTGCCGGAGAATCGTCCTTGGGAAGCGGAAGCCGCTGGGTTCCACCAGAAGTATCTGCTTTCATTACCGAAACCCATGTTGACCCGACCATGCGTCTCCACTAGAATATCACTCGGCTCGCCAGGCGGGGAGGTAATGGTGATGTTTATATACATAGTGCCATAACTTCCAGGCATGTTCGAGTTGAGGATGATCCCGGCAGCATTTTTCTGAACTCCATCGGCTGTGACACCCCTCATGTTGTAGATGCAGGACGATTCCACAAGATGGATAATGGAACTCTTCTCTCCTGGACCAGGTCCGCCACGACAACCTGCTGGGTAGTCTGCACTAACGTGGAAAGGTTCCGGGTTCCCCAGGGCCGTCTGAACCACAATAGCAAGCAACAGAAGGCTCATGTGGCGCCACTTGGAGTGCACAGTATACGAAAGAGGTCCGATACTAGCCTCCTGGTAGTTTCTAGGCCCCAGGTTATCCTGGGTTCCCAACGATAAACAGTGGTTGGTAGATGGCATATCGAATGAGGATTAATCTGAACAGTTAGTTGATGAGAATTCAAAGACTGTAATGCACCGAACGCTAAGATTGTAACACTAAGATCGAAGGAAACCCGGATGAGTACTATTTCATTCTCGCTCTAGCCGCTAGAGTCTAGCGGCACTACCGCGTCAGCATAATCACTGCCTAAGATTTGGCATAGCTAAGCGAAGGTTAGACCATATCACATGGCAAAGCGGAGCTTCTTGACGGCGCTGCTCAAGGATGGAGACATTCTGCGCTCAGTGACGAGGAATATGAACTGGCTCCATGGACTCCATGGCTTGGAGCGGATGACATTGTCTTCACACTGCCGCCGCGGTGCGTTTTCGTTCCTGGTATGTTACAATTGAGGATTTGAGTATAAACCTCCCTGTATCAGGGCGAACTGCATGAATGCACTCAGTGGCGCGCAGGAACAAGCTAATGCTCATTGGTACAGGTTAATACAGTGAACAGTTCACTGTGAACTCCACTTCGACTTGAGTGAGACCAGGAATCACTATTGCACGCTCTACGGAGACAGCACGCTCACACTCGCGAGCGACTGTGGATCTCGATTGTGTAACTTACCGACTTGGTAATGCTGAGATAACCACGTATATTCAGAATACTACTCTGTGATTTGTTAGGTCTGAGAGCATAACATCCAACACCGATCCATCTTATCAGCATCCAACTTTCCTAGTCCAAATTGTTCCCTGTGGAAGTTTCGTGGCGCTGCGCCACGCGCGCACAGACCGAAATACATTATACTGTCTATTCTCTGCTACACGCGGAGTGGAAGACTGGGCATCTAAGTGTCGGTACACGTGTACTTCTAATACGACTTTGTCGACGACAGAGTGTTGTGGCTGATAGAAACTCAATTTTACACGATACGCAGAATCGGGATTTTTCGACCTGGTTCGAACTCACATTCGCTGTACTGTACAGCCTGTACATCAAGCAAATGAAGTCTGACTTCATTTGCTCGGTGCAGAGCGAAGAATCCAGCCAGCATCGCCAAATATTTCAACATCT